CTTTCTGACTCAGCTCTCTCTTCACCACGACGGACCGGTACAACACCCGCTTTACAGCAGACGCCCATTCGTGAACAAGATCCCCAGATACTTAAACTCCTCCACTTGAGACAGGACGACCCCCCTGACCCGGAGAAGGTCATCAGTTGAAAAAAAGGTAGAGGGAAAAAGTAGGGAAAGTGAAACTTAAAGTTAATCATTKTGTTGACTATTTGGGAATTTGTATGATTTGATTGAACTTGGGTTTGAAAGTCAGACAGACCAGTATTTACCCAGCATTTCTTGCTGAGGAATCAAACAGAAATTATGTTTTTGCATGTTTATGACCATTAAAGATGTTCATGAGAGTAAAAATTAGTTGTTCTGGTTAGTTTTCTTGTTCACTTTTATCAAGTTGTTCAACTTTATGTTTTCGTTATTGGCCAAAAATCGACACCATGAGTGAGRGGAATGTCCTGGTGTGTGAAGAGTGACTCCGTTATGTTTATGCAGCATTACAAAGAGTTTGATATTAACTCTGAGTGTTAAATTTACTCTCAAATATATGGTGTATTGACACCTTGTGGTGTCTGTTAACCTTTTTAACATCAACTATTATGTAAGTTGAAACAAATTTGGAATTTAAATTGTCTTAACTTAAAATGTAAAATCACATCATTTTAACTGAAAATAGTGAGTTACATTAACACAGAAATGTGGTTTGTTCAACTAGCTAAGAGTTTATCATGATGATGTTTAATTTTTAATTGTTTCAACTCTGTTTTTAGTTAAAACAACTAGTGATTAACAGTTAAATCAACTTTGACCACTTAAAAAATTATGTTGACACAACAAAAACAATGTAGTGCAATAAACCTTTTAAACTTTAACTTCTGAGTTGGAACAACGATATTCTTCAAGTTGAGTTAACGAGTTTTTAAGGCAGGTGGACATTCATTTACAAATGTAACTGACTTGAAACTTCTTACAGTGCAGCACCGAATATAAGTTTGATGTTTTCATCTGGATTTTTCTCAGGGTTCTAAAAATGTGCTTGTAAGATTAAATATTATATTTTTATTTTCCTGATTTTCAGTTAATTTGAACACAAATAGAAAAAAAACATGTATTTGTCATGTTTAAGATTGATTTTTCAACTGTGACAAAGTTTTGAGCTAAGGAATAAAATGATTTCTGCTTTCTGACTTCAGACTTCTTTTCCTGGCAATCTGCATTTGGTTCTGGTGCTCCGCCCCTCTGGCTTGTTAAGCTCCACCCCCAGTCCATCCTCGAGCACTGACCTGGGCTGTCGCTTCAGCCAGGATGACTTCCTGCTAAAGATGCCGGTGAGAATGAGAAAACKGAGAATTGTGTGATGTTAGAAGATTTCTATTCCTCACCGTTTGTACATTTCTGCAGTCGTGTTTTACATTTTGTTTCAAAAGTTTATTTTGCCGCCTGGTGAATGTCAGCTGACCTGRCTGTCTGTTCTTCGTAATGTCCAGGTGGTGATGCTGCGCTCAGTCAGTGACCTGCTGCGCTACATCGATGAACACCACCTGGCCTCAGACTTCACGGCGAAAGTGGAATGTTGTCAAAGCGACTGGGTCATCCTGCGCTCGGTATGCTCTGTTGCTGCGTTAAAGTTCGACTACAGAACACATCTTCTCTTTGTTTGTGCAAAACCTGTTTGTGTTTACAGTCCATTGAGACGTTTGCGGTGACAGTGAAGGAGATCGCCCAGCTGCTTCAAGGTTTTGGTTCGGAGCTGTCCGACGCAGAACTTCCAGATGAAGCGAACGCCATCGAGTTCCTGGTGCACTCGCACACCCACCGCTACAGACAGATGAAGGTAAATCACTCCTCTTCCTGTCGCTCCTCCTTGTTTTGGGTCTCAGTCTCTCTGATATGTTGGGTTTTGTGATATCAGGATGATATCCGTGGCGTGCTGAAGGAAGGACGGCTGCTGTTGTCCAACCTGGAGACAGTCAAAGCTGCTAAGAGGGACGTAGGCGAAGAACGAGAGATCCAGTCTGACATGGACACTGTTCAGAGGTGCAATACCTGCAGACATAGAGAGATATGTTTTGGACTTTTCAAAAATCTGATCTGAACTTTGTTCTTCTGTGTGTTTTAGGCTGATAGCACAGCTCAGAGATATGGAGGAGGCATTCGATGGTTTCTTTGACAAACACCATCTGAAGCTGCAGCAGTACCTCCAGCTGCTGCTCTATGAAACCAGCTTTCAGCAGGTGTGAAAAACTGTGTGTATCCCTGCAATCCTGCCTCCTGATTTACATCCTTGTGCTGTGTATGTTAAGATGGACGAGGTGCTGGAGTGTCTCTCTGCCCGAGAGAAGGAGATTGCCTCAGTGGGAACCACAGTGGTCCAGACAGAGCAGCTTCTTAAAGATTTGGACACTCTGGACAAACATGCTGAGGTAAAGAGATGAGTTTACAGTAATGCCAGTGGTGGGCACCAGCCCACTAAAGCGCAAATCCGCTAATTGCAGATCTAAATATTTCATTTGCGCTTTAGCGGTCTTACTCAATTTTATAATTCATAAGCAGATTTGCACTTTTTAAAACTAAAATGCAGTACCACTTATATCTAATCATCTACCAGCCATCATTATCTTGAACAGTTTAAGGTACGACTGTCAATGAATCACAACACGTGATCTATGCAACAGCACTCCTCCCAGATAAACACACTTATTGGAAAGGTATACGTCCTTGCTGACTGTTGCTTTGGGTCACGGTTCTGATTTCCCACAATGCTTTGTGTCTGCTTACGTAGCAGGAAGGCAGTAGCAAAAACAGTTAATGTTTGTAATCCATACTAAAATTTTGTATGTATTGATTTATTTTACTTTATAATCGGAGCTCCTTTTTAAAAAAAAAAAAAGTTTAAACGCTGGAGCTCAATACTTGACGTAAGTGGCCGAAGCAATCGGCCAACGGGGTTAGAGACTCAGAAATGGTTAAAAGATGTTATGCTGGTGAAGACTGACATTAGTGGTCAACTGGAGCAACTACATGGAAAACTTTAAAATCCAAGCTCTTATTTTGAAGGGAAGATAGTTTCCTGTACTCCGTGTTTTCTTTTCCCGTCACAAATCAAATCTGTCATGTACCCAGAATGCATCGCTTCAGTTTTCCAAAAAACAGTTCAAGTTCAAAGGTCTGTTTCAGGAAATCACATCCCCAGCAATCGGTGGTTGTAGAATTAAGTTGTAAAAAAGTTCATACACACTAGTTGGCAGTGTTGTGCGTATATTGTACACAAATTATTGCCAGCTAGTAAGTGTCAAATTGAACTTGCGCTTTAAAATTAGCTTCCGCTAGTTTTTCTAAGGCATAAGCGCTTTTGAAGTTGTGGACCTAAATATTTTCATAAGCGCTTTAGAAATTGTGGAGCTAAATTTTGGATTAGCRCTGCCCACCACTGAGTAATGCAAACAACAGTAATCCATGATATATTTGTATCCCAATAAACCAATACCAATGATGCTATAATGTTATATCACGATTGAGATAACCATATCAGAGATTGACACAGTGATGCAAATACCATTTTATAAACCTTTAAATTGTTGTTAATTTCTGACTACACGCCAGACACCAGGGCTGTCAAACTCTTTTTCACCGAGGGCCACWAGAGCATTGTTGTGTTTTGTGTCTAACTTCAACTAAACACGAAACACCACATTCCTCGTCCCATTGCTATGGCTGAGCATTTCTAACAAACAACTGAGTTCTACATGGTATTTTGTGCATAGAAACAGTGTTTTAGCACGTCCTCTTATAAACAACAAAAAGTACTTTGTGCACGACTGACTAAGTGTGAAAAAATTGATAAAGAAATACTATTAAAAGTAAAAGTMAGACATTTTTACTCACTTCTGAGTTGTGGTGAGTAGCTGTCATCTTGAGTTTTGAACTCTCCCACGTTCCAACGCAGAATTTCCACTGGAAGGGTATTCCAGTTGAAATTTACAACTTGTAAGTGGTAAATTCCCACTTCCCAGCACAACTGGGCCACAAAAACAGCAGCCGGTTCAGATGTTATCAGTCCATTAAATGGACGTTATTAGCGGTTATCAGTCCCGTAGAATGGCTTCAGACTGTCCTGAGAGTGCCCCCTAGTGGGTTACCAGTGCCATGCACATTGGAATGCAACAATCTTTTACCACTGGAGTCCAGTCTACTTTATCATAGCCCATGTCATTTTCTCCAAAATTAACCTTAGTGGCTTTATGCATCATATTAACCAGATTGCATAAAAAATCTTAGTGGTTTTATGACTCATATTAACCAGCTGACAGTTTCAAGCCATTCTATGGGACTGATAATGGCTAATAACGTCCATTTAATGGATGAAAACATCCAAAGCGGGTGGAAAAAGTAGCCGAAAATGCAGCGAAAAGGAGATTTTACAGTGTAAATTTTCTTTGCTGCTGCTGGCTACTTTTAAACTTGTCCACCTAGAATTGAGATGATGTCATTTTACAGGGAAATATTCAACATGCATTATGGGAGATGTAGTTTATTGTCAATGCTGGCTTTAAAGCAGATGTCCACTTATTTTAAGACATATTTGAAGCTCGTGTGGGCCACATAAAATGCAGTGGTGGGTCACATTTGGCCCATGGGCCTTGAATTTGACACATGTGCCCTACATTGCTGTTTACATATATTTCTATGATTATTTGCAAGCAACTGTAGCATTTCTGGTGCAACTTTGCTTTCTTTTGGCAAGAATRTCATATGGAATAACTGTGCTTTGCAAAACTGACAGTGGTGTTAGGTTTATTAAATAGCTTCTTCTTTGTTAGCTCTTTGATCTGGTCAGAAATAAACCATAGCTATTCAAACTAAGGTCATTCAAAAACACATCTACAACATGAATGATATTAATTAATCATCACTACTTCACAGAACACCATTTCACCAAAAATCTCAAATATGTATTTTAGACTTTCTTCCAAAGATTTAGGAGACTGTATGAGTTGTGTTTGATAAACTTGGTCATCTCCATGTGTTTGTGTGAATCAGGAGGAGATGGCTCGAGCCCAGGTGGTGATCCTGCACGGTCACCAGTTGGCTGCCAATCACCACTACGCTTTGGCTCTAATCATCCAGCGCTGCAACGAGCTGCGACATCACTGTGATGTCATCAGCACCGCCATCCGCTCCAAGAGGGCCTCTCTAACCCGAACACGAGACCTGCTGCTGCGCCTCGAAGAGGTAAACATGMGGTCATGCTTGGTTGGTGATTTTGTTTCTGTGCAGTAACGTTCTTTGTCCTCTTTGAGCAGTCGCTGCGTTGGTGCGACGAGGGCGCCTACCTGCTCGCGAGCCAGATGGTGGACAGGTTTCAAACCAGAGAGGGAGCCCAGGAGGCTCTGCAGTACCTGAGCAGCCACCAGGAGAGGGCGCCGTCTGCACTGAGGAGCAGTCAGGACATCCTGAGCCTGGACTTTGAAGCTGTCCTCACCCCGCAGCTGCAGGTGACTGACAGCTGCTGCCACAAAAACAAAACAAAAAAAAAACAGTCACAATTGTCACAACTCACCACGGCTCACACTTTGTTTTGTCTTCTTTGCAGTCCCAGGTGGCCATGGTCACAGAGAAGCTGAACTCGGTCCAGTCCATGATTCGAAACAGAGAGCAGTGTCTGAAGAAGCTGGCAGATGTGCAGGTTCGGCCCATTCAGCTGGTGGCTCCTCGACCCGAACCAGACCAGACGGTGCTGCGCTGCAAGTCTCCTCTGTTCTCCCCCAAACACGGTAAGCGTCACATTAGTGCCGATTGTTTACAGCAGGGCCACTCAACTCGTGGCCTGCGGGCCACATCTGGCCCTCAAGTGACCAAAGTTCGGCCCGCCAATTGGTTCATTCATCTCTTCAGCCCAAACCCCTGGTTTCTACTTTAATTACTAAGTTTTTTTAGTTAAACATAGACATGTTTGGTGTCCACAGAAATGTCAGAATCTTGGCTATAAGCTGGTAAAATCATTTCTATAAACACCCAAGACAGTTAAGGCGGCACGACGGCTCAGTGGTTAGCACCGACGCCTCACAGCAAGAAGGTCCTGGGTTCGATCCCCGGTTCGGACC